CAAATCCCTTTGACGAAAGTAGATAATTACGCAAAGTAAGTCATTTCGCGAATTGTCCTCCTCAATAGCCACTTGCTAGTTAAGTTTTGATTGATTTGATTATAAAAAAACTGATCTTTTCTAGCTGATTCGTATTCACTGCTGGCAGTTCATTTACAAATGGCTTTAAAGATTTTGGGTAAATCATTTCCAAACCATTTCTTCACTTTACATTCATAAAATATGGTACTTTCTTTTGCATTTATTCGGGAAATCTTCCAAAGGGTTCAGAATTGAGAATTTTTTGCTTTTTTTCTATCATTTTGCTTGAAGTTTTTGCATGATTTGTAAATTTAAATGATGAAATTTGGCCTTAGCAATTCATTTGATTCATTCGGCTCAAAGAAAAGTTCTGCTCAAATCATTTTAAGCTTATCATATGTACTCTTGAACACATTTCGTTGTCTTTTACCGTCAACATTATTACCGTTATTACCATTAATAATTTGTCACTGTCTAGATAAATGTTCTATATGAGAAAAGAATTCTGTGAATTTCAAAACTGTAGAACAATTGTAGCACAAAATAACTGTGTTATCTATGTACATCTATTTATTGTCTATCTACGTACTATTATCGGCTTTGTTCAGTGATAGATAGATCAGTGATAGATAGAGCAGTGATAGATAGATCAGTGAAAGATTTCATTCTGAGACATCTATTCAAAAAACTTCAGCGGCAGGATACTAAGTCCTAGAAGAACCCGTAGTCATCCTTATCAAATTTCGCTCGGTTCTCATCCCCACCACCTTTCCCTTTATCATTCTTTCGCGAACCGTATTAGTAGGGTTTGGAATAAGCTCCCGCCTGGTATCTTCTCGTCTGTAGGAAAATTCAAAGTATCTGTAAACGAATTAGATCTAATTGCCATGTCAAATCTGCCTTATATTTAATCTTTTTGTACCTGTTTTTCCTGACTATCGTCTTACTGTATCTCTAGGTTTCTTTCTTTTTTGTGAAAGTATTGTAGCAATTATATGCGGTTATGATTATCTGATTCGCTTCTATTCGCCCTCCTGAATAAAGCATATATATATCTACGTACTATTATCGCTTTGTTCAGTGATAGATAGATCAGTGATAGATAGAGCAGTGATAGATAGATCAGTGAAAGATTTCATTCTGAGACATCTATTCAAAAAACTTCAGCGGCAGGATACTAAGCGATGTGATTAGAGAAGAATAAAGATCGAGAAGCATAAAATTATAAAGGAAAATGATTTGAATGAATTAAATGAATTGAATGAATTGAGAGAAAAGAGAAAATTATGTTGATCGTTGATGAAATCTCAAAAGAGAAGAGGATTTTGGAGAATTTCTAAATAACGGAATCTCGAGAAATCTCGAGCTAATCGTCTCAACAGGTGGACAAGTTCTGTTTACTGATGCATCGGCATCAGCATTAGATCGGTATAACAATATACACCAACTTCGGAAAGCTACCCCCACGAATTTGATATGGCAAGAGGTAAAGCCTTACTTGTTCAACACCTTGACTCTTCAAGGCCTTTGAAAACATTCGTTTTGATCTTCAAAAATTGCCCAGCTCTGGTGGTACTTTTTCACTGTGTACTTTGTGATCAAATCTTGTAAACGCATCCTTTCTGGCGTGCTCGAGTCGTTGTTGCAAGAGAAAACGAAGAAAACTGTGCGTCAGAAAGGTGGTATTTACAAGATTCGATCACAAAGTATATCACAAAGCTAAAAGGTAACCAAAGCTACAGTAACCGTAAAGGAAAGGTACCGTTCTGAAGAAAGATTTCCCAATTTTTATACCCAACTCCCAAAAACACAGCGCAGCACTCAATCGTTTTCATATTTCCCCCATTTTTTATGAATACACTGATTCTCCTGTTTTTGTTTCCTTCCGTAAATCGAAGGGAACATTATTGGTTTTATTTTTCTCCATTTATTGGTGCTCATTCTTTCTTTTCTCATCGTTGCTTGTACATTGGTGGATTTTATAAACTTTTCTTTTTCTTTTCTTTTCTCCACCTTTAGTAATAACATATCAATAAGAGTAATTTGACTATGGATTAAAGTTAAAGAAGCTTTAATCGGGTTTTGTCATTTTTCCCTGTGCAGGTTGCGCGTGACTTCGTCTTTTGTTGAATACATTCCTTTATCAATAAAGTTGATTCCATAATGGTTTGCCGCAGATTTAAACGTTGTTAAAAGACATTTATGTATTTCAAGCTAACTTTGGATTGGTTAAAGTTTAATGTGTTCATCAATGTTCATTTTAATCAACGCTTTATTTAGGCAAAATTGGCGTCGAATGAAACGAAAGCAAGATCAACCATCAAAACAAAAGGCAAAACGACTTGAGCAGTTTAACGTTTAACGCAGTTTAGTAATAACATATCAATAAGAGTAATTTGACTATGGATTAAAGTTATTTCACTATGGATTAAAAGGTAAATACGAAATGGCAAATGGCGAGTTTGCAGCAACAAAGTTTTAGTGTCGATGTCATGTCGATCCGTTTTTTCCAAATTTCTCCGCAATTTTACTTTCCACGTGGTGATCGAGAACGGCTATCTAACCGTCCATAAAGACGGCTTCATTGTCGCAATAGAACGGCTTCATTGCAATTCTCCTTTTGGTGAAAATCTGGTTTAAAAGCTTCTTCTTATTTGTGTGTGTTGATCTGAAGATCTGTGTGTGAGCTGAAGATCTGTGTGTGAGCTGAAGATGTTGCATTTATTACTGACAGGGGGCAAAAACGTACGTTTTATGGACGGTTTTGTAAATATTATTTTTTTACCAAACACTCGCTCACTAAACAAACGAAAGTTAGGGAATAAATGTAGGTAGGCTGGCTGGGATAGAACAAAAGTTAAGCACGCATCCCAGCAACGAAAATTTCCATGTCTCAGCACTGGTCTCAGCACTGGTCTCAGCACTGGTCAAAATATAAGCTTTCTTTACCGAATCCAAATCCGAATCTCTTACCATTCGTCAATGAGAAGAAACAAGCGAAAAAATAGAATATTAGGTAATTCAGATGAAAATGTAAATTGATGATGGGACAAAACGTTTGTTTCTTAAAGCTGATAAACTTTCAGTACAGTGCTTTCAGTGCTTCGGGTTCTGGCGCTATCGTCGTCGGCTCTAAAGGAACCATTCCTTAATTAGAGAATTATTTCAAGAGATTAAAACTAATCTTACTTTCTCGTCCGAGTCGTCCAGGTCGTTGTCCAATCCCTACCATCAGACAAAAACTCAGAAAAAAGTGAAAGTGGGCAACTTGAAATGCGAAAATCTCGAATTGGATGGCTCGAGTCTCGAGATGGCTAGCCGTTTTTATGTTGATCAAATCTAGTCATCTAGTAATCTAGCCCGTCTAGTCAAATCTAGTCATCTAGTCATCTAGTTATCTAGTCATCTGTTGAAGTTCAGCGTAAAACAAAAAAGTAAATGACAAAACTACTAAAAAATACCCTAAAAACTGGGTGCAAAAGTCTTGCAACACTCTATGTTTCTCATTTTTATTGTTTTCAAATTTATTAATTTATACTAATTTTTGTTTTTTTTCAGATGCCAGGTACCTACTTGACGACTCCCGAAAGAGAAAAAATCATGAAAGCAAGAAAAAAAGGAATTTCTCGAGCCGTTGCCTCCGATCTCTTCAAATGCGATCCTTCGACCGTTTCTTTTTTTTAAAGATACTTTATTCAACATGAATAAGTGGATACAACACAACGGAGGACACAATTTTTACCCCTACAATGTAGTTAAGAAAAAACCCAACTTAATGGGAAAAAGAACACACTTGATTTTTGCCAGTGAGATCGAAACCTCGACCTTCCGATTAGGAAACAAGACTCCTAACCAGTCGGCCAACTGGACTATTTCTCGCATTGTTTCAAAACGAACGGGTGGCATTTTCTATAAAAAACCTCATCGATTTTTTTGAAAAAGTGATGTTGCACGACTTTTGCTCGGTACGGTATACTTTTGAGTTTGATTTTGATTCAAATTTGATTAAACCAACATTTTACTATGGTTTGATCGTTAATTTTCAGATGTAGCTTCAAACTATGAAATTCCAATTTACAATAATCATGATGAATGGTCGAAAAGCGAGAGTCGAGAAGATTATTGCAGTGAAAAACGAGTGAAATAGGCGCTTTGTCCAAAGAGGCTCGAATTGGAGGGATCGAAATGTTGGGTAGTCACCTTAACAGAGCTCACTTAGCAATACCAGTAGCACTAAGGAATGCTAAATCTATCGTGCTTGATCCAGATGTCTGATCGCTTGGAGTTTGGTATCTTTAAGGCTTTGGCCTCAAAGATAAAAGCTTTAGCTCTATTAGCTTTAAAAAACTTTTCCAATATAATTCTAATGTTTTCTTATTTCATAGATTTGCAAACCCAACAAAATCTTAGAAGAATTTGGAAACCTTTTAGAATTTTTACGTTAGAATTTTTTTGGAGACTCGCCAACTTCCGGAGCATTTTTGAGTCACTAAAAGTCGAATTTCCAAAAACTAAAAGCGTCATCTTGTAGAGCGTTCTCGAAAATACTTAAAACTTGAACAAGAACAGCGCCTACGCCTCCCTACTTACGTTAGATCCATCCTTGAGTTACATGTGAAGTTCGGATTTGAAATGCCAACATGGATCTACCATTTGGTCGAATGCGTTTCGATCTTTGGTTGTCCATTTTGTTCTCATTGTTGGTCGATCATGAAACTTTTTTGACAATCAATATAAAGCATTATCCATCATCCGAGCTTTTGGTTTCGGAGATCGAATGATAGCAGAAATAGCCTCACAGCAGGAGCTCCAAAGAGCACTTTTTGTGATTCTTGGTGGATTTTTTGACGATTGAACAATGTAAATCACAAAATACGATTTTTGATCCACAAATCGTGAACTTATGATGTGAAAAATCAGTATAAAAGATCCGTGAGCTGAGCGTTTGACATGAGCCTCGAAAAGGGAGCAAAGTTAAGATGAAAATCATCGTCCTCGTCCTCGTCCTCAGTCTCGCCGTTCACCAGGTTTGATTTCGACACGATTAAGGAGGAATTTCTCCGGTTAAGCTCCGGTTCAAGCTTTTTTTGTGGAGATTTGATTAGAAGTTTGGACCGAATTACAAATAGCTACTTAAAATGTAATTTAGATAAATGCGGCCGCATTCTGTCCTTCATTGCCAGCTGAGATCACTTGGGCTCCCGATGGTGGAGGTTAGCGCTCCGGTTAAAGCTTTTTTTGAAATTTGTGATTGGAGATTTGAGGAGCCTGTAGTTTGTCCTTGGGGAAAGATAATTTTCCTTCAATTTCCCTGTTCCCATCTTTGGTTATACATAATACTAGAGTGTAACATAAATGACCGAAGTTTTTGACTAAAAATGGTTTGGTTTGGTTTTACAAATGTTGAATGCACCAAATGAAGTACGATTTGCACCATGGGAAAGATCTATATTTTCTATGCCAAAGAAACATCACTCTTGGTTAGATTTTTAGGAAAATTTCCAATAAAATCTCCATCCAGCCGTTTTCTACAAATTTCAAGTTATCCAAAGCGATCAAAAGCTTTTATTTGAGGACTTTTTGTTTAAACGAAAATTCCGAAAAAACGGCTGGACGGATTTCGTTGAAAATTTTACGGAAAATTTAGAAAATCTATGTCTTTATTTTATGTAAAAAAGTAAAACCAATTCTTTGCACAATCCTTTGAAATAGCTAGCTTGACAATAGCTAGCTTGATACATGAGACTCAGCAAAGAATAGCATCTGAACTGGGTTCTGGAGTAGATATAGGTCAGAAAGCAAGAGCAAGAGCAAGAGGTATTTATTAAACGAATTCTAATGCTTTGGCTTAAGCAAAGCAACTATTGAGTTTAAAAGGCCGATTTTCAGCAGCTCATCTCGACTACTATGGCACTGGGAAATGGTGTAGCAACGTTAATGGAAGCCGCTATAAATGTTACAACGATGGCGACTCAGACGAATGCTATTTGGTCCGGTGCGACCCACTTCCAGCATGGGTAACCTCGGCGCCGACTGGAAGTGAATCAGCCCACAAATGAGTCGCAAAAAAAGTTTCATTTAGACGCCGATTACGACAGCCGTGTCGATGGATGTAAATCAATTGAGCAGTGTTTGTTCGACGGCGAATCCAACAAATGCTACTCGGATGTTTGTCCGCCCTTGCCGGCTAACATCACCTGGGAACCACAAAACGGTTAGAAGACTTTCTATCTAAGGCTTGTTATTCAGGATAGGCAAATTTTTAGTTTGATTAATAAGGGAAGATCAACTGGATGTGCTCACATAAGCCATAGACCATTCAAAGCAGAATTCCACGCCGATTCCAAATCTGTTCCGAATTCTTTTACGGAGCCTTTTGTCAAAAGTTATACGCGTTTAAAGTTGTAAAGAGTTTCCAAAAATCAAACCGCGACATTACAACCCCGTCTTCCGCCGCTTGAACACTTGCAGCGGTGGTAGTGAGTGGTAGTGAGTTAAGATGTAAGGCAATTGTAATGCCTTGAGCAACTCATAGGCAAGTTTTGTTGATTGTGAAGATTGAGAGAAGAGATTGTATGCGGAGAGAGAGAACGCACAAGGGGATAGACACGATAGAGAAGACACAAGACATTAAAACCTAAAAAATAAAGAAGAAAATCAACTACCGGACTCGAACGAGAGAGCTCTCGCCCTCGCCTTTCGTCCTAATTCACTACCATTCCACCACCGTTGCAACTGTTGAGCTTGCGGAAGACCGGGTTGTAATGTCACGGTTTTATTTTCTCCTTACAAAACTTACTCTTTACTTTAAACGCGTATAACTTTTGACAGAGTGCTCCGTAGCAAAAAAGGAAAGCAACACCATGATCAGCATGAAATTCTGCGTCGAATGGCTCATGTGATTTGCCCAGCACACCCAGTTAATCTTCCAGTTATTTCTAATTATAGAGAAAAAAAGAGGAAGAGTAAATACTGGCTGATTCTTGTCCTATAAAGCTTTTTAGTCGCAACTTTCGACTACTATGAAGATGGATGTAGAGGCACTCGTTTGTTGTGTTACAATGACGGGGTTTCTGATGCTTGCTACTTGCCAAACGTTTGTTTTCTGTCTTACCACTTTTCTTGACACTTTTTTAGAAAGGACCTTGTCCACCAAAGCCGATTTCGATCAACTGGGAGCCAGAGAGTTGTAAGTTGACAAAAATCCGAATAAAATCGTCATCTTTTTGCTATTTCGTTTAGCCGCTCATTTCTCCGAGTACAGTGATACGCCGTGTGGCCGGGGCACAGATTGCTACAATGACGGAGAGGCTGATCAATGTTATATGACTGTGGGGAAATGTTTGCCGAAACCCGACTCGATCTTCAACGAGCCCACGGGACGTGAGTAGAGCAAGAAAGAGAAACAAGCTATCTGAAACAAGCTATCTAAATCAAGCTATCTGCATCAAGCTATCTGAATCAAGCTCTCTGAAACAAGCCATCTGAATCGGAAGAATCTTTTGCTTTTCTAGCCGCTCTTGTTGGTCGTTGTCCTGAAGGCTTTGAATGTTTCCACGATGGATCGAGCAATCAATGCTATTGCTATGATACGGCTGGACCAAACATGTGGGTTTATATAGGCAAAAACAGATAACAGCATCGGAATCAGCGAAAAATTCTGTTTCGAAAAATTTAACAATATAACAAATAACAATATAACACATATAACAAATATAATAAATAATTCTTTTGTTTACAGCTGTCTGGACGCTCACAATCAGGCTCTGTGCGATCACAAGAGCAACATGTGCGCGAAGACTTGCGGATTTTGTGTTGGCCCCGGTTCCGCCTGGAAGTATCCCATCACTTTCGCACCTTAAGGAAATTACTCTTGACTCTTAAATTACTGAAATGGGATCACCATTTTTCTGTAGTACCTACTCGAATAAATTTTCGCAAAATCAGCAAAGAGTTTCAAGAAAATCAACAAGAGAAAACATCAAAAACATTTCAATTCATTTCAAATACTTCTTGAGTTAGAAAATAAATGCTAAGGAATGAAAAAGAAAAATTCGTACTACAAAAGTTCGTAATTTGTACTATTGGATTGGTGAATTGAAAACTGCGGGACTTTGAACTAAAATTTATTCAACATAAAACCATCAACTCATTCCAAATAATTTCCATTATTATTGACGACTTCTGCCCATTTTACAGAATGAGTCGGGGAGAATGAGTCGGCGCCGAAAATCAAAAAATGTCTAAAACTTCTATTTGACTTCGTGAAATAACATGCGTTTGATATGAGTAGAATGGTTAACTAATTCTCTACAAAATGACATTTAAAAGAAAACTCAAACATCGCCTCAGCTCAAGAAAATGTCAACTTTCCACAGAAACTACAAACTGTGATCTAGAAAAAACCATTGGTGGGATCTTCCTGCAAATTTGGCAACTTAAGTAATTGAATGTGCTCTATCTTTTTTATATAAACACCAAAGAAGGTTTATGTGAAAGAAACTGTTCAAATGATGAGTCGGACTCTTTGCCATTTTAACCAGCTGCGTTTGGAAGTTCATAAACTGCACGAAAGAAAAGCTTTGTGGAATCTCTCAAAAGTGATTTTGTAGAGAAATAGTGGATCCTTTTGATGAAACCAAACGTATGTTTAAAGAAGGCTTTATGTGTGCAAAAAGTCCCTTTAAAGTTCGGCGCCGACTCATTCTCCCCAACCCAATATCATCGAAAAATTCCGAAAATTGTCAAATTTCCCATTTTCCATTCAATTATTCTTCTCTTTCGTACTACTGGTTCAATTTTTTTTACCTAATCGAGCCGTTTGCATAAATTGCATCTTCTCCTTTCCCTTGGCCAGCAGATGTCGAATAATGCCTAAACCGTATCAATCGGTAGCTATACAAAAGAAGAAATCAAAGAAAAACGCATTTCTCTTCACTTTTCACTTTTAAAACCATTTCTCTTTACCTATTTTTCAATTTAGATTCGTTAATCTTTGAATTTGTTTTCGAAAATGTCTCTTTTCGAGCAAGCTTTCTCCTTCTTGAAATGCACTCGTTGCGGAAAGTTCTGTGAGTTTTAAAAATCAACTATTGAACTGAGGTTTAACTCAGTTCAATAGTTGATTTTTATTGTAAATTGGTGAATCAATTTAAGCTTAAATTCATTCACCAATTTACTCTTTTGCTTTCAGTCAGCTACAATGAGAAGGTGTTCTCCTGTAAGAATCAGCGCAATCGCAATTGTTTCGATTACGAAGCCGTTTGTGGAAAGTGCATGTGAGTGACTTTCAATAAGAAATATTAAGCTAAGAAGGTGCTATACGGGAGGGCCGAAAATTCTACATGCTAATTCTTGTTATTTTTGTTTCCCGTTATGTTCCACATCGAAAAATTGCTTATTTTCCTTTAGGTAACAACATTTATGAATTCAAATTAACATTATCAACAACAATAAAACAAGAAAATTGAAGTTAGAGGATAACGAACAGCAACAAATTCCCCAGAACTCATACATCAAGCTTTGAGTATTATGCTGCCAATTCCATAAATCTTCATAAACCCAAAGCTCAGCCTTTAATCCGTTTTGCTACTTAATCTAGCTCCATAAACGAAAGTTAGCATCTGAAATTTTTAAGCCTCTCCCGATCCGTATAGCACCGCCTAGAATACTTGAGTGATAAGTTTAGGCGATTAGTAACGGTAGCAGCAGTAGTTTACTATTACAATTTTCAGGCACGATCATGTCGAATCGATCCACGTCATAGACAAGCAGCGCTACATCACCGAATTCGTCGCTCGTCGTCACGACATTGAGGGTGAGTGATATAGGGAGATAGAATGCTTCTGTAACAGATAGAGTTGACTTTTCAATCAAGTATTCGACTCAAAATCAATTGCTAGATCTGCATTAAGCTTGTCAGATTCAGAGTCAGATTCAGCACAGAGATATTCTATACAAAGTAAAAGTTTCCAAAGTTCAGAAAAGATCCGTGATTTCATCAACAAGATGGAGACGAAATTCCTTGATGAATCGATTGGTCGTGTGATGCCCAAGACCGAAACGAGCAAGGCCGACACTGCGGTGAGTTGGGTTGATCCATAAAAAACAAAAGATGATCTTTGAGTTTGTAAACTGAAAAGTGAAAACAAATCTGAGATAGCTTATTGATTCTACAACAATTCAACTTTAGGTTGTTCCAAGCGATGTCGCGGCGTCTGTTCATGACAAATCGAATGCGAACGAGGAGAAAGATGATGATGATGAAGTGCCTTCTTGTGCAGAGACTCAATGTTAGTCTAAACATTGAAAAAAAGGCATTTTCCTAATAAAGTATATAGCTGTTATCAAAGCAAACTATTTCCAGTTTACTCGAGACCAGTGAGCTACTTGAAGATGGTGAAGCCATCGATTACCGCCGACGAAGCCCGCTCTCTTCTCGATGATTCTTCTCAATCAATGCAACAAGTGCGACAGATTGCTGCCGACAAAGCCCGCTCTCTTCCCAATGATGAGATTCGTGAGGTGAGTAGCTTTACATGAATTATTAGGCTGTCCTCAAAGTCTTTTCATTTCTTTTCATAATTCCGTTGATAAAAAACAAATTCATCAATGGTTTGCTCTAAATAAAAAGTGTTTATTGCCAATTTTTCATCTTTTAAAGTCAATTTTGGTTCACTTTCAAGCGCAAATTCGAGAGTGAAAACACGTGTTTTTCGTAAAGAGACACCTAAAATCTCAACGAAGAAATTGGCTGAATGAATGGCTGAATTTCTCAAAAAACTTGACTAAATACCAAACTTTTTATGCTCTATCTTTTATCGATTGACACGAATATAGATTTCCTTAGCTAAAGTGTCTTCGCATCATATTCATTCCTCTTTTTTTTCAGATGAACCGCGATAAGAGTGGCAACAAAGTGGTCATCAACAAGGATATCTTCTGGAAAAGGATAAAACGACTCTACGAAGCATGGGTAAACTGTTGAAAACTAAAGATTCTTGTATCTAACGAGGGAATGGTCTCAACTTAAAGTTGGGAATCGATCCGAAACCAAGTGAACCTTATAGAATCGACAACGGAGATTCATAATCTGCAAAAATTAGCTACCAACTCGGCCTGGATAGCGAGATATTTAATTTTAAAGCTTTTCAACAAAACAGAAAATTTCATTGGTGCTTGGGACTTCTGGCTATAAGGGCTTTCTTCAAGCAAGTCGACGTGTCTCTGTAGTGTAGCCGGTAGAGCGGTGGCCTCTAGATCCAGGGCCAGGGCCAGGGGTCGAGGGTTCGAATCTTGCCTGAGCTTTTTTTTATTTAAGAGATTCTTCTGTTTTCATTCAAAATTTTTTATTTCTAATTCTTAAGCAGTTAGACGAGTTTTCGGAACAGAATTCGGAAAATTGCTGGGTCAAACCGCAAAATCGAAATCCGATGGATCCCACCTGGAGGAACCTCAATCTGCCAACCATTAGACTGTTTGTACTTTAGGCAGATGAAAGCCTTTTATAAAAGATTCGCCGAATACGGATCCTTTTATGAACCAAATTTTAAATGAGAACAGAGGAATCTCTTAAATCAAAAAAAGCCCAGGCAGAATTCGAACCCTCGACCCCTGGATCCAGAGGTCAACGACCCGACCACTACACTACAGAGACACGTCGACTTGCTTGAAGAAAGCCCTTATAGCAAGGAGTCCCAAGCACCAAGGAAATTTTCTGTTTTGTCGAAAAACTTTAAAATGAAATATCTCGCGATCCAGGTCAAGTTGGCAGCTAATTTTTGCAGACTATGAATCTCCGTTGTCGATTCTATAAGGTCCACTTGGTTTCGGATTGATTCACAACTTTAAGTTAAGCCCATTCCCTCGTAAGCTAGATTACAGTAGATTCCTGTAGATTCTTGTAGATTAGAGTGTTCTTAATAATAAAATTCCAGGGATCCAGTGAAAATGGGCTTTCCGATGTGGACGCTATTTATTGTGTCGTCGGACTGGATGACGACAGTTACTGCAAGAGTCAATACTTTCAAGTTAGTCTTAAAATATTATCAATTTAAAACCTTGACCAGGTTTGGCTCTATGGTATGGACATGCCGGACACTTTGATGGTGCTTACAAAGAAAGGCATCTGGGTGCTCGCTTCGAACAAGAAGGCTGATTATTTCAATCCTGTAGCTGCTGATTCATCTCACGATCCGGTTCCTGAAGTCACGCCGATTCATCGGAATAAGGTTACAAAGCTATTTCTTGATAAAATCATACCAATAGTCAAGTAGAATTCTTTTTCATGATCTAACTACAGTATTCCTTAATGATTAGAGAAAACTGAATCTTTTCTAGAGTGACAAGGACAAAGCAAACTTCGAGAAGCTTGTCGGGCACATTAAAGAAGCTGGGAATCGAGTTGGATGCTTTATCAAGGATAAGTACAAGAACAAGTTCTGCGCTGATTGGTCGAAAGCAATGCAAGGCTTTGAAATGGTAAGGAAAAGTCATTGGAACAGTCTTAAAAATAGATCTATAGTGTAAAATAGCCAACCAACTTATAGCTTGGTTACGGTAGCCAAATCACGCTTTAGAGCAAGCACTTGACAAGTCAAGTTCCAGGTTGACGTGTCGAATTTCTTTGCGCGTCTCTTTGCCGTAAAAGACGAGGAAGAAGTTGAGTACTGTAAAGAGGCTTCTCTAGCCTCGTGCAATGTGTGGAACCAAATGCGCCGAAAGTATGCTGACTACATCGATGGTGATAGGGTATGTGATAGCCATAGAATTAGACTTGCTAAACGATTCATTGAAACGCTAAGCTTTTCTTTCAGAAAGTCAGCCACAAGAAAGCATCGGACGAGGTGGAATCGCTGACAACAAATCGACAAGTGCAAGGGGTTTTGGCAAAACGAAACATTGATCAATCGTACAGGCCAATTGTGCAAAGTGGTGGCCAGTACTCGTTCAAATGGAGCGCCAAGAGTACGCCAAAGAATATGCATTTCGGAGTGATCATGACGACGTTCGGGTGTCGACTTGAGGTGGGGAAAGTTGAGCTTTGTAAACAAGTTACCTTATTTGTATTCAAATGAACCCTGAGCCCGAGTCTGAGCTTAAGCCTGAATCTGAGCCTAAGCAAGAACCGAGCCAAGCTCAGGGTTAGGCTCAGATCTAGCTCAAAGGATCTGGAGCTAGTTGGAGCTGGAGATCTGGAGCTGGAGCTAGATTTAGAGCCTAAATTACCTAACTATCAGCCGTCAGGTTTGGGCCTAGCTCAGATCTAAGGCCTGATCTTGAGCTTGCCTCTGTCCAGGTCTAAACCTAGTTGATTTACCTAACTTTAAGCCAGGCTGACCTCTAACCCAGTCTGGCTTCCCTAAGGTCTAATTAAACATCCTTGAGGTGAAGTGAATTGGCAAGACAGATAGATTTCCGGAGAGTGGATTGAACCGACCTGGGCTTTGCTTTGCTTTCTGAGCAATTGCTCTAACCACTAAGCTATCCGATACCTTAACTTGCTAAGAGAAAATGGGGAAAGACAAGAGAGAAGAAGGAAAGATAAGGGGAAGAAGAAAGAAGGAAGAAAGAAAGAAGGAAGAAAGAAAGAAGGAAACAAGGCCACAAGTTAAAGAAAGCTATAACAAGGTACTTTCAGTCTTACTGCTCGAATTTGTCCCGCACGATGCTCGTGGATCCAAGCAGAGAGTTGGAAGGAGTCTACGAGAATGTTCGACTCATTCAAACGGCTGTCATTGAGGCGTTGAAACCTGGGAGAAAGCTTTCGGAAGTGTACCAGGTAGTTTAAAAATGCATATCTTATTAAGTATCATTTTTCAGATTGGTATCGAGGCATGCAAGAGGCAAGACGCTTCTTTGTTGGATAAACTCTTCTCCAAGGAATTCGGTTTCTCGACTGGAGTCGAGTTTCGCGAATCGCGCTATACAATCTCGCCAAAGTGTGATGAAAAGGTAAAGCTTTGAAGTAGGGATAATATATTTGTATTGGTATTGAGTATTGCATTATCCCAATTTCAGGTTCGTGAAGGAATGGTCTTTATCGTTCAAATCTCAGTCGGCGATCTGAAGAATCCTGGTGTGAAAGATGAACAGGCAAAAGAAAGTAGCTATCTCGATTGGGGACACGATTCTCGTCTCTTCAAACGGCCCTGTGAATCTCACCGAGAAAGCTCGCTCAAAACTGAAATCGATGGTAATTCCTATCAAAGAAGATGATGAGGAAGCCGATGGTAAAGAGAAATTGAATATAGTACTATTTTTATACTCATTAGTTGTTCCCTATCTTACATACAGCCCTAAGCACTGAACTGGTGACAGGCCTGACCATGGCATCAAACATTTAGAATGAAACAAAATAAAGAAACAAAATTTAGAACCAATAATGCCTGAGAACCTCGATTGCGGGAAAAGAAGCGTTGTCCTGGCAGAACACACGAGAAATCAGCAAACGAATGAGGATTGTCGCAAAGAAAAACAAAAGGAATTGCTCGAGATTCTCAACAAGAACGCGCAAAAGCGTTTAGCGCAAGAGTTTGAGCAACCTGAGGTCAAGAAGTAAGTCTTGAACATATGAAAGCAATCAGATCAACCATATAAGCTTCACGACTAGCACCAGATTCAACTTATCTAGCTTATAGCTTACAGGGCAAATCATAAGGATTTTTTTATTAGATATCAGCTTCGTTATTGCTAGCTAAATGCAAATTTAAATCTAATTGCTAGCTAGATGCAAACTTTTGCAAAAGCGTGCTCTGAAAAACCGTGTGAAAATGAAGAGCTGAATTGAGAAAGATGAAAGCTTTAAGCTGCTCATACACAACCGAAAGAACTTTAATGATATTGTCTCGCTTGCTGATCTTGAAATCCGGTCCGCTGGCTAGAATGTGATCGTGAATCCTTTTTATTAGGTTGGCCGGAAAGTTCTTTCCGTTTTTTGAAGCTATTGGGTTGGGGAGAATGAGTCGGCGCCGAAATTTAAAGAAACTTTTTGCACCCATAAAACCTTCTTTAAATACACGTTTTGTTTCATCAAAAAATGGTCCACTATTTCTTTACAAAATGGCTTTTGAGAGATTCCACAAAGCTTTTCTTTTTTGGGATTTTATGGATTCCCAAACACAGCTAATCAAAATGACAAAAAGTCCGACTCATTGCTTGAACAGTTTCTTCCACATAAACCTCCTTTGGTGTTTATATAAAAAAGATAGAGCACACTCAATTACATAAGTTACCAAATTTTCAGGAAGATCCCTCCAACCGTTTACTCTAGATGACAGTTTATCGATTTTGTAAAAAAATGATCCTTTGTTGAGTTGAGGCGCTGTTTGAGTTCTCTTTTAAATATTATTTTGTAGAGAATTAGTTACCCTTCTACGGATATCAAACGCATATCATTTGACAAAGTCTACTATAAGTTTTAGAAATTTCTTTGATTTTCGGCGCCGACTCATTCTCCCCAACCCAATAGATCTAACTTTTTATTTTACGCATCAAAAACGCCAAATAAAAAAAACAGAATTTATCTACTCGAAATATTCACCGTCAACATCAATAACATCCTGCCACTTATCCGGCAACAAATAGATCCCGCGGCGGTAAAACTCACGTGGCTTCGAATCGAAAAACTGAGTGAGTGACAAGCGCATTTCCTCGACGTTTTGAAAGATCTTTCCACGCAAATGATGCTCCAGAGACCTGAAAAAAAATGATAATCGGACGATTCTGGACAAAAAACCTGAACAGATGATAGTCCGATGGTGCCATGTCGGGGCTGTACGGCGGGTGATCCAAATGTTCCCAACCAAACTCGTTCAATTTGCTTGTTGTCAATCTTGCTGTGTGAGGTCTTGCGTTGTCATGAAGCAAAATGACTGGTCCTTGACGGTTGCGCATCTTCGATCGAAGTCGATCCAATTGCTCACAATATTAGGTTGGCCGGGAAGTTCTTTATTGATGTTGACGGTGAATATTTCGAGTAGATAAATTCTGTTTTTTTTATTTGGCGTTTTTGATGCGTAAAATAAAAAGTTAGATCTAGCGTCAAAAAAACGGAAAGAACTTTCCGGCCAACCTAATATTACGCCTTTAAATTGTTGAAAGAAGTCGAAATCCAATGGTTGAACGAGTTGTGCTACACCGCGCTTAAACTCGCTTAAACTGTCAATCATTAAATAAAATTTTACAAATTTCTAATAAACAAAAAAGGATTTTTAACTGTTTTTCAAAAAAAAAGCAAAAAGTTTGATTGCTGGTGGATCCAAACTAAGATCAAAGAGTTCCGAGCGCAGCCACACTAACCATTAGGCTACGAGCTGTTTTTTTGAAATGGCGCAAAGAATGTCTTTTCGCCGGCAAAAATCAGTGTGCCAGAGATTCGAGAAAAGCCTTGGTTTTTCAAACGGCTATAACTTTGTGCGTTTTGCCGATTAACGATTTTTGAAAACAGTTTCTGAACGTACATTTTTCGGCCTTTCTTTTGGTACCTATTGGGTTGGTGAATTGAAAACTGCGGGACTTTGAACTAAAATTTATTCAACATAAAGCCATGAATTCATTCCAAATAATTTCCATTATTATTGACGACTTCTGCCCATTTTACAGGCAATTTGCGGATTCCTCTTTCGTAGTAGGATTTTGGTTTGTGTGTGAGACAAGTGTGAGACTCAAAAATGAAGGACTGGAGATGTCGAGATCCCAGTTTGAGCACTTTTTTCAAAAGAAACCCATTTTGGTGTCAATAGAAAAGTTGTAGAGAATCAAAAATTAGGCGTATAGCCAAATTTCCAAAAAGATACACTTAGTAGTTTCGCTTGAAATGCAAGTTTTGTTGCAAGCTTTGTGAAAATTCGTAAATTTCTTGAAAACCATTTTTTGAATAGTTCTGAAAATTTGGATATAAGCCTAATTTTTGATTCTCTACAACTTTTCCATTGAGACCAAAATGGGTTTCTTTTCTAGAAAGTCCTCAAATTGTCACATATCACAATAGCCGGCAGTTTTCAATTCACCAACCCAATAGATTAAGATTAGCCTTGATTTGAGGAGAAGTCAATGTCCAATTTGAGGATCCGGAGCCGGCGAGATTAGTTTGGCAAAGGGAGAGGAAAGGGCTTATGTAAAAGGCCTGCGCCAGACGACGAGCGATTACGCGCAAAGAACACACAGAACACACAAAATTGAAGTGAAACTACTAAGTGTCTCTTTTTGGAAATTTGGATATAAGCTTAATTTTTGATTCTCTACAACTTTTCCATTGACACCAAAATGGGTTTCTTTTGAAGAAAGTGCTCAAACTGTCACATACGACAATAGCCCGCAGTTTTCAATTCACCAATCCAATATATCATATTGTAACTCGCGGGTAACTTGGGGAAGGTTCCCTTGTGAGCCTGAGATCTGAATTATTACAATTCAACTTCATTTAGAGCGAAAAATGTTTCTTACAAGAACTATGAGAAATTCCCGCAAGATGAGGAAATTGACACGTTGATGATTCACGTCGGTAAGGTGTTACTGTGCTTTCTAAAAGATGATTTATTGTTAGTAAACAGCTATCGTAACCGAATAAGAAGCAGAGTTTAGCCTTCAAATTCAGATCACCACCACGATTCGGTGATTCTCCCATTGTACGGAGTGCCTGTACCATTTCATATCTCGATGATCAAGGTTTGCTTAATAGTATTGTCTTGGAGGTAAGATTATTAGCTTGTAGGTATTAGCTTGTAGGTATTAGCTAATCAAGAATGAGCTATACTCTTTTTTAGAATTGCTCCACGTGGATTGAGAACGACACGATGTACCTTCGAATCAACTTTGCACATCCTGGTGGAAATGTTGGAAAGGTGGGAAAAGTTTGAGTGCAAAAATATTAAGCTATAGAGGCTTTACCCATTACACTAGTACAGTGTAAAGCTAGAGTTGTACGGTACTTGTGTCAAGTTGGATTCTCTACCAAATCCAGTGAAGCTGTCGAGCTCCATTGAATACTTAGATAGTTTTAGATGATACTGATTTAAACAGGTAACGTATTAGGTTGATGCATAAGTCTTTTCGTTCCTTTTCGTACTTCCGCTCAAAACCAACAAATGCACGAATTAAACTACGGTTGATTTCATTAGAAAAAGCAATTATTTTTCTGCAAAATAACATTAAAACGGGTTTAAAAATATTTAATGCCTGGATTTTCTTGAGAGTATGAAGTCGGGTAGTCAAAAAGGGCTGACTCGATGATGCGGTTTAGACACCTTAGCTAAAGAAAACCTATCTTCGTGTCAATAGATAAAAGATAGAGAAAAAAAACGTTTGATATTTCGCCAAAATTTCAGAGAAATTCATTCAGCCAATTTTTCCGTAGAGTTTTTTATAGATTTTTACGAAAAAGGCGTTTTTCACTCTCGAATTTGCTTGAAAGTCAACCGAAATTCATTTAAAAAGATGGAAATTGAACAAAAAAACACTTTTTTTTATAGAGCAAACTATAGATTAATTGGTGAATTTGTTACTTTTTAACAGAAGTACGAAAAAAATGAAAAAGACTTTTGCATCAACCTAATAATACAAATTTGTTGTCATTGCAAAGTATTAGGCGTCCAAAGGCTTTTCTCATCTAAAAGTTCCCATATCAATGACTCCATCTAAAAGCTCCCATATCAAAGACTTCATCTAAAAGCTCCCATATCAAAGACTTCATCTAAAAGCTCCCATATCAATGACTTCATCTAAAAGTTTCTATATCCCTCATTTCAGTTCAATTCCCCCATCTTTCAATTTCCCAATCCACTCGCCACTTACATCAAAAAGTTGACATTCGGAGCAACCACATTGAAAGATCATGGACAGACCTCGGCTCCGTCAGACAATTTGTACAATGCTTTCCTTTTGATCAACGAGATGCGGAAGAAATTCAAAACCAAGGAGGTATTTGATTTCGTTGACATAAACATAAATTGAACAGTCTATGGCTTAAAAGCTATGGCAACACAAATTTGCATTTAAGGCTGAAGAACGAGAAAAAGAGGGTGCCGTGAAACAAGATAAACTCATCATCGCAGCAAATCAAGTGAATCCAAAGTTGAAAGATTTGTGTGTGCGGCCGAATATCATCGCGAAACGAGACTCCGGAACACTCGAGGCACACACGAACGGTTTTCGATACACAGCGCTGCGTGGTGACGAGATCGATGTGCTTTATAACAACATAAGACATGCATTCTTCCAGGTAAGGGAAAATGATTCTAGAAATCTATTGTCAAATATCTGATAGCAGCCGAGTTTGTGGTTTGAAATCGACGTGGCGCAGTCAGGAGTGCGCTGGTTTACAGCCCACATGAGCCGGGTTCGATCCCCGTAGTGCCACTCAATTCAATTCAGCTGTAAACTTGTACCCAGGGGTTTTCGGGGTCGACAAATCGATTCGAGACATTCATTTCATTGAGGCCAGAAAGGGCCAGAAAGGGCCAGAAAGGGGGCCAGGAAGGGCCAGAAAGGGGGCCAGAAAGGGCCAGAAAGGGCCAGGAAGGGCTAGAAAGGGCCAGAAAGGACCAGAAAGGGCCAGGAAGGGCCAGAAAGGGCTAGAAAGGGCCAGAAAGGGCCAGAAAGGGCCAGAAAGGGCCAGAAAGGACCAGAAAGGACCAGAAAGGGCCAGAAAGGGCCAGAAAGGGCCAGAAAGGTTTTGGGGAGACATTCATTTCATTGAGGCCAGAAAGGGGGCCATAAAGGGCCAGAAAGGACCAGAAAGGGCCAGAAAGGTCTGCACCCAGTTCCTTCAAATGGCGCAGTGCCAGAGCTTCTGTCTCGAGCAGGCGGTGCCGGGTTCGATCCCGCCTGAAGCGTTTCGTTTTTGCAAATTCTCAATTCTTCGAAATAAAAGTTGTTTTTTGGGGTTGGTGAGTCGATTAGAGATATTCATTTGTTGAGTTTACCGATTAATTTTTAAAACTTTAGCCCTGTGACAACGAGATGATCATCCTCCTTCACTTTCATCTTAAAAACCCAGTTCTTTGGGGGAAAAAGATATACGGAGACATTCAATTCTTCACGGAAGTTGAAGAAATCACCACCAATTTAGGGAAATATCCTCACATGTGAGTATAAAGTACACTACGATACTTTACGACAAATTTTAGACAAGATCGTGATGCAGTGGCTTCCGAACAAGTGAGTGGGAAAAGATTGAGCTTTTTATAATGGCTATGTTCTTATATTGTGCTCTTGGTTAAACCTGCCGTGATCTTGTTGGCTTGGTTACGACATTTTCTAAGAAATACTCTTAGTTAGAACTATCGTACTTGATAATTGACTCGATTATGATGAATTTTAGAAAAAAAGTACAAACAAATGATCCTAACAATCTTTAGATGAAACGCGAAATGCTCAATCAAACTTTTCAAGCCTTTTGCGACGAAGTGGTTCGGCAAACGAACGAGCAATTCAAGTTCGAAATCCCAGTCAACGAGCTGTCCTTCTGGGGAAATCCAAGGCACAACAGTGTCCAGCTGAAGCCGACCTCGTCATGTCTGGTGAATCTCACCGAGTCGCCCGTCTTCGTCGTCAGACTGGTGAGTGGATTAGTAGTCTTGACCTCTAGCCTGGTCTTGGTTGATTTTACTTGACCCTAGCCTTGAACTGACATGGCCTAGACCTTGTGTATCTTGGCTTGGCTAGTCTTGACCGCTTGGGCAGCTCTGGTCTAGGCTTGCTCAGCTCTAGTCTAGCCCTAGCCTGGTTCTGACCTGTCCTGGTCTAAATTGGCTAGGATCTAGATTGGCCTAAGCCTGAGCTTGAGCTAGATCATTACCAAGACAAGGCACATAGACCATATCGGGTCAGGGCTAGAGTCAATAATCAACCAAGATCAGGCTAGAGTTAGAAGAGACTCTGATTGGTTGAGGCTGGGATTTGAACCCGCGGATTTCTCAACGATTTCTCACTTACCGTGGGACCCCTCTACCAATGAGCTACCAACGACACGTATCCACGTAAGGAACAAGGCTCTACAACGATAAAGCCAGTAAGGGAAACTACAGGAAAGACCTTATCCCTTACTGGTTCTGGCTGTATTGCTCGCTTTGTTCTACTCTGCTTGGCCAGTTCTTTGCTTTGGCTTGGACTTGTGCTGATTCTGGTCTAGCCTGGCCTAGGCTTTCAGTCCTAACCCTGGCTAAGGTTTGGATCTGATTCCTGTACCTGTTCTATACCTGTTCATAACTCAAAACAATTCCAGGATGACGTTGAACGAGTTCACTTTGAGCGTGTTTCCATCCAACTGAAGAACTTCGATTTAGTCTTTATTTTCAAGGTTTCTTTATTTACAAAGAAAAGTGTTAGCATCAACTGTTCAATCTAGGATTATCACCGAAAAACTCAAATGATTCAACAAATCCCGAAGGCCTCGCTGGACATTGTAAAGGAGTGGCTGAACTCATGCGATCTAAAGTACACTGAAGGCATACAATCACTCAATTGGCCAAAGATTATGAAAACGATCGTTGATGATCCTGTGGTAAATTTTACAATTAGGGAAATTTATCATATTAAAGTTATCATATTAAAGTTATAATTTCAAATTTCCAGGAGTTTTTTGAAACCGGTGGCTGGAGTTTTCTCGATCCATTCTCTGACGACGAAGATGAAAGCGATGAGAGTGATTTCCTTTCATGGGATGAGGTTGGAAAAGATTTTGATCTGATTTTGATTTGAGAAACTTTAACTTATTTTATATATTGGGTTGTCCAGTTATGTATGCGCGTTTTTTACTATTTTGTAGTAGATTTACCATTTTTACTCTTTGAGAGCATTTCAACACATAGTACTCAATCTAATATTTGGCTACGATCCAGTACAAAGTGCATTCTCAGGAAAGCTATTTTGACGATTCTGATTCCGATCCCGATTCTGACGAGAACGAGTCAGAAGAAGAGACAACCGAAAGTGAGGAAAATGATCCGTCGCTGGATTCGGATGAAAGCCAGGCCAAGGTGGGCACATACAGCAAAGCTCAAAATGATTTAGACGATCGTATTTTCTTTTCTCTTTGTCATTTATCGAATTACACTCAAAAGCAAACCTTGATCAGTCTATACCTTGATCAATTTCTAAAATTATGAGCCTAAAAGCTGCTATCTATTTTGTTGGTGAATTGAAAACTGCGGGACTTTGAACTAAAATTTATTCAACATAAAACCACCAATTCATTCCAAATAATTTCCATTATTATTGACGACTTCTGCCCATTTTACAGGCAATTTGCGGATTCCTCTTTCGTAGTAGGATTTTGGTTTATGTGTGAGACAAGTGTGAGACTCAAAAATGGAGGAATGTCCCAGTTTGAGCACTTTCTTCAAAAGAAACCCATTTTGGTGTCAATAGAAAAGTTGTAGAGAATCAAAAATCAGGCTTATAACCAAATTTCCAAAAAGATACACTTAGTAGTTTCGCTTAAATGCAAGTTTTGTTGCAGGTTTTGTGAAAATTCGTAAATTTGGCATTCCTTGAAAAGCAGTTTTTGAATCGTTTTGGAAATTTGGATATAAGCTTCATTTTTGATTCTCTACAACTTTTCCATTCACACCAAAATGGGTTTCTTTTGAAGAAAGTGCTCAAACTGTGAAAAAGTCAGATATGACAATAGCCCGCAGTTTTCACTTCACCAATCCAAAAGTTCGAGTTCTTAGCATGAAATTTTTGATTCTCCTGGGGTCGGCGCAAGATCAAATTTTTCAACTTTAAAACATTTTTGAGCAAATCTGACTGCAAATTCGGCTTTTCCATGTATTTTTTTAGTCTAAAAAAGTTTTCGAAAAGATTTTGGCTCGTTGGGAGCATACAGATCCTCAAAAAAAAGTTCAAAAAGGACAAAAATGACCAAAAAACCGTCAAAAATGGCTAAAATTACCCGAAATTGTGTAAAAATGAAGCTTGACCAGTACAGTTTGCTCTAATCGGAGGCGATACTGCAATCAGCATTCGACTCAGTCGAAAAGACTACTGTACCTAGCCTTGAAACAAGCACTAAACTGTATTAAGCTGTATGAGAAGTTGGTCTAAAGTCGACTACGGTAGTATCTAAGCAGAAGAGACGTCCGTCTGTCTGTCTGTGCACAAACGGGACGCTCTAAATTCTAGGAGCGCGATTTAACGGTTCCATCGGCAAACAAGGGGCAGAGCTTAGCCTATGGGGAAACCTATTTTGATCTTTATTTTCAAAAAGGAGCATGGCTTAAGCGGGTATACGGTGAGTAAAAACCAATCCCAATTGCAGGCCGCTGAAGACGAGTGGGATATCTTGAAGGACAAGACAAAATGGAAGAAATTCGCCACCGTTGACAAGGCCAAGATGAGGAGAAGAGAAGGAGAAGGTGAGGAAAAATTGGAAAAATTGTAGTACCGTATTTCCTCTAATAAACGCCCCCCCTGACCAACTTTGGACGCTTCGTTCTCAGCCCCATTTTGAGATATCTTTATGTTTAATATATCAAAAAGATAGCCCTTAATGTCTTCTATCTTTTGATATATTAAACATAAAAATATCTCCAAATGGGGCTGAGAACGAAGCGTCCAAAGTTGGTCAGGGGGGGGGCGTTTATTAGAGGAAATACGGTAGATACTTTTTAGTAAACAAAAAGGTATTCTAAAAGGTAAAAAAGGTATGGTAGATGTTGAGTCTAGGACAAGAAACGCGTAAATCCAAGTCTTTCGTTGCAATAGCTGGATATTTTGATGAATTATTCGGCTTTTCTAGTAGTATTTAAGAAGATATGGTAGATTTGGATGAGCAATAGAAAATACTTGACAAACATTCTAACATTTCCCATTCCAGGCCGACTATAAGTCAGATTATTGAACGATCGATGGCGAATTATTTCGAGAAAATTTTGTAAACATTGTAGACATTTTAAACATTTTAAACATTGTAAACATTGTAAACCAATTTTCTAAATTATTGATTCTTTTATTCATTTAATAAATCTTTCACGATGTTATTTTCTAACGAGAATCAAGAATTATAGACTTTTAGCTCTACTAAATTTCAGAAAATCTCTTCCAACTAAAGCTGTATGCAAATTTAGATAAGAAAGTATACTGAAAAATCTTTTATTCACTTTTATTCAATCCGAATTCAATCCAATTTCACAATCTTTCTGGCCTTAACTCCATCGGGGGTTTAAGAGTGTTACTTGAATGAATTGGCGCCGGTTTATCCATCGGTACATCGAATTCCTCGTCGGAGAGTGAATCTCGACGTTTCTAGAGTAATGCTTGTAATATTCAAAATATTAGAAGACAAGTTACCGCAAAATAGAATGAATCTAATAGAACTCTAATAAAGAACGAATAGAACGGCTAATAGATAAAATAGAACGGCTCCTATAGGAGCGTCGCGTAGTCAGAATGCTCAGTCAGAATGCTCAGTCAGAATGCTCAGGAATGCTCAAAAGTGACGCTGAGATTTTGAGACGAAAATCTGGTGCAAACACAAGTCGAGTACGGCGAATACGATAGCGCTTTTAGTTTTTGCGAACGGGCAATGCTTTTAAGATTTAAGCAGGCAAGATTTAAGCAATTTAGGCATCTATTTGAAAAGCCTAGGAGTTAAAAGAGAAGCCTAAAAGTGAAAAGAGAAGCCTAAAAGTTAAAAGAGGCTTCTCTCCTTTTTTGAAACAGAAACCAGATTGTCTAGTGGATAAGGAGTTTTGCTATGAAACTAACTGCTATGGAACTTCAGCTTCTGCTATGGAAGCTTCGATCTATTTACGGTAGTGCTAAAGTTGGAGACAATTTGATTGCAAGATTTAGAAGATAAGTTACCGTAAAATAGAATGGATCTAATAGAATTCTAATAAAGAACGAATATAGAAATAAAGGCTCCTATAGGAGCGTCGGGTAGTCAAAGGAATGCTCAGAAGTGACGGTGAGATTTTGAGACGAAAATTTGGCGCAAACACAAGTCGAGTACGGCGAATACGATAGCGCTTTTAGATTTTGCGAACGGGCAATGGTCTTCGAGATTTAGGCAATTTAGGTATCTATTTGAAAAGCCTAGGAGTTAAAAGAGAAACCTAAAAGTTAAAAGAGGCTTCTCTCCTCCTTTAAACAGAAACCAGATTGTCTAGTGGATAAGGAGTTTTGCTATGAAACTCACGTCATCTTTTCAGCTTATGGCTTCGATCTATTTAAGGTAGTGTTAAAGTTGGAGGCAACTTGATTGCAAGATTTAGAGGAATAGAACCAATTTCATCGCTCACCTTTGGGCAGAATTTCTTTCGCGTCTCATACGAGCAGAACATTCCCATGATGACGAAAAGGGAGATCACCTGGAAATGATTGTGGAAATGATTTGAACTCGGAAAATTGGATTTTTAAAGTTTTAGTCTTATTGTTAGACAGTTTTTTCTCACTTCAACGCATGAGATCACTGATAATCCAAGCCAAAGCCCGGCCTGTCCACCGAGATCGTTAATCGCTGCAGAGATCTGAAGTCTTAGTTGTAAGGAGTTGTAGGGAGTTGTAAGTTAACTGTAAGAAGTTGTAAGAAGTTGGAAGTTTACTGTAAGAAGTTGTAGGAAGTTGTAAGTTAGTTATAAGAAGTTGTAAGTTAGTTGTAAGTTAGCTATAAGAAGTTGTAGGAAGTTGTAAGTTTACTGTAAGAAGTTGTAAGTTATTTGTAAGTTAATTGTATTTGTCAGTAAGTTATATTAAAGCCTATCATCAGCATTTATCAAAAACCCGATTGATTAGATTTTTTTTGGTAAACATTTATGCAAGAAAGAACCTTCTGGCATCACGAACTCGAATTCTATCAAATTTCTCTGATTCTACACCCAGGTTTTCAAGAATTAAGTGCACCAGAGATGGTGCGTTTCTCCAATCAAACCGAATACGCCGAATGCTCCGTGTAGACGTTGTACTTCAAATCGGAGAAGTAGATCTGCAGAATCAGCGCGTTCTCTTGATACCAGAGTCTTAAATTTAGAGAATTTAGATCCAAATTGACATCGCTTTAATGTAAAAGAGTCTAATAAAAGCTTTAAGTTTGTTATTTTATTTTCTACCGGCAAAAGTTTAATTTTGCTCTTTTTCTCTTTCAGTTTACAGTAAGTTATCCGCGCTATAGTCTCCCAAAACCGAGAAACCCCATTTTTATTTTCAAAAGGTTATAACTTTTTATAGGGTTTATCAGTTTTTATGCTTTTGGTATCAAAAGATAGAGAAAAACCCGTAGAATAAAAATTCCGGTTTACATTTTTGTTTTAGGCTTTTGTTTCCAAAATTTTGCTCCAACAATAAAATATGGCCGAAATTTAACACAGTAAAATCACCCAAACTCGATTTTAAAAAAATTTGTCGAAGGGATTTCAAAAATTCTTTTATTTTCGGATTCAGCACATTTTTCTGCTTCAATCGGCTATTCAAACGTAAAAATCCTATAGAAAACACATTTTCGCGCGGATGTGACGCGTTCTCTTGATACCAGAGACTTAAATTTAGAGAATTTGGATAACTTAGATTCAAATTGACATCACTTTAATGTAAAAGAGTCTAATAAAGGCTTTAAGTTTGTTATTTTATTTATATTTTACCGGCAAGCCTCTTGCATGATTCCAATAGCCGTGAAATTCGTCTGTGTGTTGGCGTCGAATGGATCAGTGTGTCCATCGCATCCAAAAGTCTGAAGTTTTAAAGTAAAGTAAAGTAAATTCGGTTCGCTTTTCAATATAATTAGTGTTTAATAAAAACTATCAATAATATTGCATACTCTAAATACCTGAGTGGCTATTTTTATAGGGAAAGTGCCAAAAAACCATGAGTGTACTGTAACTTTCTTATTGTAATGTAGCTGTAATACTGTAAGTTCCGTAGCCACTAGCAGATTTGCATTTTAAATCCCTTTAGATCATTTTAAATCTAGAAATTTTGAAAGTTTTATCAAGTAGAGAGTGACAATCGAAAGCCAAAGATTTCTGACTCATTGAGCTTTATCTGATTAGCAGCCTAACGACGGGCTTTTATCGCTGAAGTTGAGGTTTTGAGGGCAACGCATAGTCGTGGTGCTGTCGCATATGGTGCTTTCGGAAGCTAGGTTTTCTACGACCTACACGAGCCGGGTTCGATCCCCGTAGTCCCTTTCGTGCTTTCAAGAGCAAGCTTGTCTACGGCCCACACAATCCAGGTTCGATCCCCGTAGTCCCTTTCGTGCTTTCAAGAGCAAGCTTGTCTACGGCCCACTCAATCCAGGTTCGATCCCCGTAGTCCCTTTCGTGCTTTCAAGAGCAAGCTTGTCTACGGCCCACTCAATCCAGGTTCGATCCCCGTAGTCCCTTTCGTGCTTTCAAGAGCAAGCTTGTCTACGGCCCACTCAATCCAGGTTCGATCCCCGTAGTCCCTTTCGTGCTTTCAAGAGCAAGCTTGTCTACGGCCCACTCAATCCAGGTTCGATCCCCGTAGTCCCTTTCGTGCTTTCAAGAGCAAGCTTGTCTACGGCCCACTCAATCCAGGTTCGATCCCCGTAGTCCCTTTCGTGCTTTCAAGAGCAAGCTTGTCTACGGCCCACTCAATCCAGGTTCGATCCCCGTAGTCCCTTTCGTGCTTTCAAGAGCAAGCTTGTCTACGGCCCACTCAATCCAGGTTCGATCCCCGTAGTCCCTTTCGTGCTTTCAAGAGCGAGCTTGTCTACGGCCCACACAATCCAGGTTCGATCCCCGTAGTCGCTATGGTGCTTTCAAGAGCGAGCTTGTCTATGGCCCACTCAATCCAGGTTCGATCCCCGTAGTCCCTTTCGTGCTTTCAAGAGCGAGCTTGTCTACGGCCCACACAATCCAGGTTCGATCCCCGTAGTCGCTATGGTGCTTTCAAGAGCGAGCTTGTCTATGGCCCACTCAATCCAGGTTCGATCCCCGTAGTCCCTTTCGTGCTTTCAAGAGCGAGCTTGTCTACGGCCTACACAATCCAGGTTCGATCCCGTAGTGCCACTCAATCTTGAGTTTTTTTAAAAATTTTAAATGGCACAACTATATTGTCTTTTGAGACTTTTTAAAAAAATGACTTTTACTTTTTAAAAAACGAACTATGCGATGCACAACTACCGAATTCTAAGCTTAACAAACTAAAAATCATATAAATCTACTCAGGAGGAGCTGCGAACTCGCGCGGACAGACGGACGAACATACACTTTCCTTTTCTATATGTTGCATCCGTTCACGAACTAACGTTCAGATCGGATCGGATTTGGACGTCCGTTTACAAATTAAACTTATCTTTAGATTGGTTTCGAACGTCCGTCTACGAATTAAAATGGAACTTCAGACATTTTAGATTGATTTTTCTAATTTATGTTAATGGGAATTTACGTCCAAATCTGAATAGTCATCATGTTGAACATGACGTTCGAATCCGACGTCTGAATCCGACGTCCGAATCATGTTGAACATGACGTCCGAATCCGAATACGATCTAAGAGAATAGAAGACCGGAGTTGGGAGAATCAGGCGATAGCCTTGGAGGATTAGGTCTGGTGCGGAGTCATAGCCTAGGAAAATATAGGCGCTTAATTTAATGATTTAATGATTTAATGATTCGGACGTAACACTTTCACATTAACATCAAATTAGCATTTAAGTTTAATTCGTAAACGGATGTCCGAATCCGATCTGTTAGTTCGTAAACGGATGTACATCTTGGAAAACATCTTGGAAAGATTTCAGGGATCTCAATCAAGCCATCTCAAATCATTTGGGATCTCAAATTTTCAGGAATCTCAAATCATTTGGAAGCGGTTTTGAAACGAGCATGGGATCAAATCTCTGTCGCTGAGTGCGACCATCTCGTG